AAAACCGATGCTCTTAGTAAGTGTATTTTGTTGCCTCCTTAAATTAACAGTATGCCCACTGAAGAGTAGAAACAAAAGCCAGAACTTGATTCTACATTTTATAACCTGAATTATAATGCATTAATGCAATCCAGGATTTTTCCTATGTTTTGAGATGTCAACAAGGCATGGGTAGCGGGGAAATAATATCTTCTGAAAACCAGTTAAACTACATATCTAATAAAGATCTTGAGAGAACAAAAACACTAAATGCTTTGGAATAAGCCAGAAGGCTTGGACAAATAGAGAAAAAACACATTAAATGTGAAGTATGAGACAAATCCAAAAGCAAATTGTGCCTGTAGGTTGAGGAGCACATATTATAAGGACAATAGTGAGAAAAAAATCATAAGGTTTGTGAATGATAGTTGGCTTACTGTGAATCAATGATGGAACATGATTTCAAATGAGTTAATTCTTTCAGTCACTCATTCATTTAATATTTCATTCTGCACATATTTAACTGGACACCTACTGTCAAATAATTCTAAGTGCTGACTATATGAACATGAATAATGGTCCTTGCCTTCAAAGGTTCCTATTTTAATAAGAGAGGAAGACATGAAAATTAATTACTTTAATACAGTGAGGTAAATGCAATAACAAAAACTTATGTACACAGATTAGAAAATGAGGAATGGTCGAAGACGGTTTTTGCCAAGGAGAGTGGCCCTGAATCTCCTGTTTTGTACTGGGCATCATGAACTGAGGCAGGGGGTTGCTGTGGAGCAGGGAGTTTGATGAGCAGATTGGGAGATGATAGTGTGCAGTATTCAGGACCATCCCAGTGAAGATGCAGCCAGGTTGTTGTGTCCAGGGTTCTCTGCAATACCTTTTATATTTTCTCTGTTTTCCCCAGATTCCTAATGTATAGGAACAATCAGCAAAACGATTCTTGAATTAATGTGAGCTCCTAAAGTGTTGGTTAAATCCAAACAGCATGAGTAGCCTGTAACTGCCAACTCAATACTGGCTGACTATTGACCTATAGATTTATAAGACAGCTGAGATGGAAGGCTGAGTTCTTTCTTTTTTTTATTAATTTAATTCCATTGATAGCAAAGAGTAAGACAATAGAAGACAAGCCAATGATTGTTCTCAAGTCAGGAAAAGCTGAAAACAAGCGCTTGATCACCAGCAGCGATGAACTTGGGGTTATATTTACTTTCAAGCTCAGTTAATTTGACTACAAACTTTTCCTGAAGACCTTCAAACAGAATCCAGAACTAAACTTCTCTCCTAAAAAGGAGGGAGGGAATAGGAGCAAACATATGTTGAGTACCTGCTAAGTGCCAGACAAATAACAGCCTCACAGCAGCCCTAGGGCAGTGCTATAAAATAAATTGTCTCCTGTAAAATTCACGTGAATTTGCATATGCAACAGAGTCTGTATTTGAAGCCAAATCCCCTGCTTATTCCATTAATGCTGTGTTTGCCTTTAATTCAATAATTTATAGATGGTTTTACTTTTATTTTTACTCTAAAGGTGGCTTATTTTGTTCATACATCTCTGCCTTTTTTTTTTTTTGAGACGGAGTTTCACTCTTGTTACCCAGGCTGGAGTGCAATGGCACGATCTCGGCTCACCGCAACCTCCGCCTCCTGGGTTCAGGTAATTCTCCTGCCTCAGCCTCCTGAATAGCTGGGATTACAGGCACGTGCCACCATGCCCAGCTAATTTTTTGTATTTTTAGTAGAGACAGGGTTTCACCATGTTGACCAGGATGGTCTCGATCTCTTGAACTTGTGATCCACCTGCCTCGGCCTCCCAAAGTGCTGGGATTACAGGCGTGAGCCACCGTGCCCGGCTCTTTGCCTTCTTTTGTGTTCACTTTGCCTGGCTGTAATACATCCTTTGCCACTAACCATCTCACCTAATTTGAAAATGTTTTGAGTTTCTTTGCTTGGAATATGGTGGAACATTATTCAGCATAATTTAAAAGAGGTGCACACTTAAAAAGTGGACTTTGAAGTCAGAAAGACCCAAGTTTGAATACAGATCTGTTATTTACTGGCTGTGTGAACCTGGGTAATTGCTAACCTCTCTTAGCCTATGTTCTTCAGAATGTTACTCTGAAGATTAAAGCACATGAAATTCTTGATACACATGTAATTTAGACATTAGTATCTAAAGTTTATAAAGAACTCTTATATCCTGGCTATTGTGAGAAATGCTGCAATAAACATGAGAGAGCAATCTCAAAGTATTTATCAGTGGATGAATGGATAAAGAAAATATGGCATATGAACACAATGGAATTCTATTTAGCATTAAAACAGAAGGAAACCCTGCCACTTACTACCACATGGATGAACCTGGATGATGTTATGTTAATGAAAGAAGCCAGCCTGGAACCTGGATCTGGGACTTCCAAGCCTCCATAACTGTAAGAAATAAAGATTTGGTATTTACACTAGTCTGTGATAATTCGGGTATTGGTGGCCTGAGTTGACTAATACGGACAGATGATATACCACTTTACCTATGAGCAAATTGAGCACAGGGTCACTATTGGTAGGTCTCGTATTGTTGACAAAAGTACATGTTATCACTTTATATGTGGAATCTAAGAATTTTGAACTCATAGAAGCAGATAGTAGAATTATGGTTACCCAAGGCTTGAGGTGTATGTGTGTGTGACATGAAATTGAGGAGATTTTAGTCAAAGAACACAGAATTTTAGTTAGGAGAAATAAATTCAAGAGATCTTTTGTAGAATATGACAACTATAGTTAATAGCAATGTATTGTATACTTGAAAATTGCTAAGAGAGATCTTATGTGCTATCACCGCGTACACAAAAAGAATGTGAAGTAATGCATATGTTAATTAGCTTGATGTAGACATTCTACCACATACACATAGATCAAAAAGTCATGTTGTATACCATAAATGTATACAATTATAAACAAAAATAACTCTTACAAATTCAACAAGAAAATAATGAACAACCCAATAGAAAACCTCATGAGTAAGGGGTGTGAACTGGCAGTTCACATAAAATAAAACCCAAATAGTCAATAAACAATAAGATGCACAAGCTTATGCATAAGCAGAGAACCACAAATGTAAACAGTACAATAAAATGCACACACTCAACCAAGCAAATATTTTAAAAATCTAACAATATAGGTGGGAATGAGAGCAACAGGACCACTGCTTACAGGAGAAAATCACTTCAGTCACATTGGAGAGCAATTTGGCAATATTTTAAAAGTGAAAAATGCAGATACCCTTTAATCCAACAAGTGTTCTTTTATATCTACACCCCAGGAGACACGGTCAATGATGGTAACTAAAGCATTTTTTATAATAGGGGAAACTGACAACCTAAGTGTCCCTATTAATAGATCAAAGGATAAACATATTTTGGTATGTTTGTATTATTTCATATGTACAGACAACTAAAATTAGTCGTGTCCATTATATCAACCTAGATGGATCTAGAAAGACAATATTGCATCACAAGAAAATAAGAAATATTCTAAATTATAGATGCAAACATAGCTATATGTATATGTATATATATATGTGTGTGTGTATATATATTATATATATAACATGGATGGGAAGGATATATATTAAATACATTGGAAGTTGGATTTGAGGAGACAGATAGGAGAATAATACTAGAGAAAGAAATTTCAACATCTGAAACACATTATCCTTTTAAAAATGCATAAGAAAATATGGCTAATTGTTAGCATTGTTAACTTCCAGGGGTTGGTTCATGGACATTCATATTGTTAGTTCTGGGCACATTTTCTTACCCTTCTTGGATTATCTTGGCCTTATCTTTTCCTTGGACTCTTGGCCACTTATTCTGGCCTGAGCTAGTTCTGTGGTCTTCCAATACCTGAGGCCAATCAGCCTGGACTGGCTCCTTCCATCATTTCTTGTGTGGGGTTTGTTTACCCCAGTGGCTGTGAAGGTGCCAAGTGATGTCATAGAAAGTGCATGCAAAAAGGGAACTCTTACCAATGGGAGAGAGAGACAAGGAGCCAGCAGACATGTTTTTCTGCCTTCCTCTGTTCTGAGACACTTTTTCCCACCATAGAGACTGCCCAGAGACATTTCAAATGGCTCTGCGAGTAGATTTTCCAAGGTGCTAGTTGAATCTCTTCAGAGCCCATGTTGCCAGCAAAACGTAGCGGTAGCTTGCATTTGCCTCCTATCCTTTTCTTCCTCACTTGTCTTTTCCCTCACTTTCACTGTCCTGGGGTTTCATTAGCCTTGTCTTGGGCTTTTTCTCTCTAAGGAGTCTAGGCTAAAAGATTCTTTTTTGGACTTTTGTATATTTCAACGATAATACATTTGTCCCTTGCTATCAGCCCTGTCATACCAAAATCCATGCATGCTCAAGTCCCCTGTATAAAATGGCATAATATTTGCATATAATCTATAAACGCCCTCCCCTATACTTTAAATCATCCTTGGATTACTTATAAACCTAATGTAATGTAAATGCTCTGTAAATAGTTGTTATACTGGGATGTTTTTATTTGTAATATTTTTAGTTTTTAAAAATATTTTCAGTCTGAAGTTGGTTGAATCCACAATGCAGATGGTGTGGATATAGAGGACCAACTGTATGATGCAAAGAGAGAGCATGGGGGCTTAATACACAGCAGCTGCTATTAATACTGCTACAGTCAAATTATAAACAGATCCTAAAGGTGTTAGAGCCACTAAATTTGAAGAAATCATAAATTATTAGATTTGGAGGAGACCTGAGTTATTATGTAGTACAAACTTTGATTAATTAATTAATCTGTAATTCATATAAATGATACCACTGATTTTTGCTTAGACTTGTAAACTAGAGAATGCTGGATATGAGATATAAGTCATATCTAATCAATCCTTAAGTTTCAATAATGCCACCTGCGTCCTTTTCCCAACGATTCCACTTCCCGCAGAAAGTTGAGTAGTCTTTGAACTCACTGTGGTGGGCACTTACTCTCCACTGTGGTTGAGGTTGTCATAACGCAGAAAGAGGCCTGCATAGACGGTCTCAGTAAGCAGGGCATAGATGGCAATCATGATCAGCAGCACTGCCAGCTTCAGGACAGAGTTCAGCCGGAGGAAAACTGCACAGGTCACCATGGCCAACACCCCAGTGAAGACAAAGTACTAGAAACAGAGAATGCAGGTGGTCAGATTCAGTGGGGGCAGCAGTTCCCTCCCCTAACCATGGATGCCAGTAGATCTTACACACATTTGCAGAAAGTTTCCATTTGGAGGTCTCCAGGCCTCTTGAAATTTAACAGGCCCCAATCAAACTCTTCATTTGCCTAATGCCAAGCCCTACTTCTGTGAGTGGCATCACTATTCACAGCATTTCCTAAGCTAATAACCTTGGTTTCATCTTCGTTGCCTCCTCCTTTTCCACACAGGCCATCCCAAGTTGGTAGATTCTACATTTTTTTTTTTTTTTTTGAGATGGGGTCTCATTCATCCAGGCTGGAGTGCAGTGGTGTGATCTTGGCTCACTGCAACCTCCTCCTCCTAGGTTCTAGCTATTCTCCCACCTCAGCTTCCCCAGTAGCTGCGATTGCAGGTGAGTGCCACCACACCTGGCTAATTTTTCTATTTTTAGTAGAGATGGGGTTTCACCATGTTTGCCAGGCTGGTTTTGAACTCCCAACCTCAGATGATCTGCCCACCTTGACCTCTCAAAGTACTGGGATTACAGGCATGAGTTACCGTGCCCAACTGATTCTGTTTTAATAGACCTCCCCTCCAGCCAGCCTTCTTCCACACTGTTTCTTAGTTCTTGCCAACAGCTCCAGAATAGTTTTCTGGCAGCTCTGCCTGCAGTTAGTCCCCAGTCCCCACCCCATACCCATATCGTTCTCTACCCAGTATTTTTAAAGCACAGATCTGATCATGCCGTCCCTTAACTTGAAGTTCTTTCATAGCTCTTCTCTCTCAAATTACGTTCTCCTTTCTGAATAGCAGAGCTCACAGGCCATCATATATCAGATTTCCTTTCCTCTCTAAACCCTTCTCCCACGTCCTAGGGCCCTGTTGCTCGACTCTCATCCATATAACTAGGGCTTACTCCTCTGGCAAATGTCAGCTCAGATGTGCTTTCCTCTGAGAAGCTTTCCTCAGTATCTCCGGCTCCATGTGGATCTTGCTTCCTTCCTTCACAGCACCCTGCATAGAGCAGCATAACATCTAACACCCCGTGTTAGAAGTAACGGCTCAAAATTGCAAATTTGGAATTAGCCAAGAGCTGGAATACTAGTGTAGCCTTAGGTGCCAGTCTACCCCGCCAGATTTTAGCCTTTTAGGGGATGCTCCCCAGCCTATTTCTTTCCTTAGAGAAGTATCCCAATATATCATTCTGGATGGTGAGTTCAGACTCTGATTATCGGGAACAAAAAGAATAAAACTCACATTATCAAAGGCCCATTTTGTGGCAATAGTGTGATCTCTATATACATTTTCACTTGTAACATTCAAAATAACTTGTCAAGATAGGAGTCATAATATCTATTTTATAAGTTAAGAAACTGAGGTTCATGGAGCTTAAATAAATTGTCCAAGATCTCTTGGCTATAAAGTGGCATCTAGGTCACCAGGATATAACCACTTCACGTAAATGGGATTCAGAACTGGACTCGATAATTTCTACAATTCTTTTCGGTCTTGTTATGCATGGCTGTTTGTAACAACTTGTCTTTTCTATTACACAGACAACTTCTATATGGGCAGGGGAGGTGGGTAGGAATTTCCAAAAATATCTGAGTAATTAATGAAGAATTGTCTGCAGATTTCTAAGCCTAACTAAGTCATTTATGCATCCTTTTAATAAATATTGACATTGACAAGTGTGGAGAGTATTCTGACTGAGTTCTCCCTGAGGGCTCCATGCCTTTGTAGTAATGGGGTGGACTTGTAAGTGAAAAAGGCATTTCCTTGCCCTTAGGAGCCTAGAGTCGAGTGTCTCCTTTACTTCTGTCTTTTCCTTTTCCAATAAATCCAATTATGTTCTGGTCTCAAATGGGATGATAGGCTTTCTTCAGCTGTCCTTTAAGATCTTGGGGAAGATTTTAGGTAATTCATTTTGATTCCTCTGTGTAGGAAGCTGTGTGTGAAGTGACTGGGCGACAAGCAGTTCACTCTCCAGAGCTCATTTTCTGCTACAGGGAAACTCTAAGACCCTCCATTTTGACAAAGGCCAAAGAAAGGACAAGATCTGAGGGGTCCTGTTTCGTTGGTGCCTGTCTCGCAGTAAGGGGCTGCGCATGGCTTTTTGCAAATTATGAATCATATATTAGATAAAAAGTTTTTGTTCCACCCTTGTTATGTGGTCATAACAGCTAATTTATAAAATGTAATAAGCATTTACTGAGTGCCTATTACAATGAAGGCATGGTGCTAGGCACTGGAAATTTGAAGGAGAGTAAGAGATGGCCCAGGCCTAAAGGAAGTCATGGTCTAAGATGTAAAGCAGACATAAAAACATCAACAGTAATCATAGTATAAAGGGCTGCGCCATCAATGTGACCAAGCACAATGTGGGTGCAGAGACAGGACAAAGCATTGTGCATTCTGTGGGCACATCTGAAGAAGGCTGCACAGGGAGATGAGTTTGAACTGAACCTTGAAGGACAGAGAGGATGCCACACAGTAGACAGTGGAAAGGGAAGGGCATTCTAGGAAGACACAACAGCATGAATACAAAAGTGTAAAGGAACAAGGTGCCAGAATTAATTCCTCAGGTCATATTAGAAAATCATACAACTATTCTGAAGGAGATCTAGTAACACCAGCGGAAGAAAATACTCAAATGTGTTGCCCTCGTCATTTCTGTAACAAGGCTGCTGAAGGTATGACAGGCAAATATACATTTATACGATGTATTGATGGATCTTTCTTTTGTTGCCTCAGTCAACGGTGGCAGTATGCTCTTGCCTTCTTTACTCCATTCCCCATTCTACTGAAAGGATCAGTGACTGTCTTGTAGGGTTTAGGTAACTTTTTCCTTTAAAGTATAAAGGTGAACCTTTTGGAGGTGCTATAAACCATGGGATGTCAAACAGAATGGCCCCTGGATAACATCAGAGATATCTCCGCTGTGCTTTTTATACTTTGAGTGAATACTGGGGGTGGGACCAGGAAGTGGGAGAACAACAGGAAGCTACAGAAGTATTATGGCTTTGTGAAAGCTTTGTGAGAACATTTCTCTCTTGCTGGGTCTGGACCCATAAATTGCACGTGTCCTGTAATTTGGGAAGAAACTGGCTCGATGCAATTACTTAGTTTCTATCAAACAACAAGCAACTTTTGTGTTATGTTACTCCAGGAACCTTGAAGGCCCACAGCTCCTAAAGGGTCCCCTGAATGGATCCTGGTTATAAGAGGATCCTAGGTGTAGCAGGGCGGAGATAAGGGCAGAACCATGCTATACAAAATCCTCTTGTATGGACATCTGTACTTTATTCTGCAGTTCATAAGGAGCCACGGATAGATTTCATGTTTGTAATGGATTCATCAGGTCAGTGCTTTAGAAATAAATTGTGGTGGGGAAGAATATATGATGTATCGGGATTAATGGAGAGAAGGTGAGGACTTAAAAACAAGGTCGTGGCAGATCTACCCGATAAACTTAGCAAGATATAAAAGGTTGGACAATATTGTCTAGTTTTATGAGGAGGTAAGAAAGAGAGAGGAGTCAGAGATAGCACTAAGATTTCCACTTTGTACTAATCTATTAAGTAAGAAATAACTTAGAGAAAAAGTGTAGAAAAAAAGCAGTGAGTTCTTTTTCAGGCCTATCAAGCTTTAGGTATAGAAGCAGTGATTCAGTAAGGATGTTCAGTGAGCAATGACATATATGAGGCTGAGGTGCAGAAGGTAGATGGGGTCATGTTTAGCATCATTTAGCTGAACTTACAGGGATGAAAGTAACCACTCAAGCAGAATAGAAGTAAAGACCGAAGTTACAGAGACTAACATTGAGAGACTACCATGTTTGAAGGACTGCAGAAGAAGAGAAATGAAAACGTTGATTAGGAATTTTTAGGGATGTGAGGAGGAGAACTAGAAGACGGTAGTGAAGAAACATGTGCCCGAAGAGTAAAGAGCTCTCTATATGAGAGTTTTCAGAGGAGCATTTAAATGACAACAAAGAATTTTCAAAATAATCTTAAACTGGAGAGCAGGCTGTTAAATTGTATATACACTGTGATTACAACAATGCAAAATATGTATGCAGACATGACGTGGCTTTTGAGTGGATTATTTCCTTTTGTAATGTCCTTTAGTTTTAATGTGCAATATCAAAGGAAGCAGTATGTCAAATGTAGTGTTTTGGGGTAAATCCTTGTACTCCAGAGAACTCTGTCTCCCATATAGTTAATGGGGTTTTCTATTTTTCCCTAGATGTTTAAATGATTAAAAAAAATTCCAAGATTTGTATGAGAAATGTTAGTGAGCAAAGTTCTCAGCAATGTCTGTTAAAGGAAACATACGAGGTGTGCATTATAAGTGTATCCCCTTTGCCTTAGGAAAAGATATAATGACAGATCAGTTTTTACTGTTAAAAAAATTGGCTAGAAAAAAGAAGTCAAAGGTACTTCAGTAGGTAAAACAAAATGTAGACAGGAGAAGACAAAAACCCTACAGATGTGGTGTTGCAAAACAGACCAGATTCATTTTACATGAGATGAACTCCAGGTTAGATGGTGAAGGGACAAGCTGAGTTGGGGATGCCTGTAAATCAAGGATTAAGTTGGTGGAAAGTAGATAATTAAATCTAAATGTTTATTGGGCACATATTCTGTGAATGACTTTGAATGACTTTATGTGTTTCATCTCCTTTAATAATTTAAATGGCCCAAGGACAGGTATTATTCTTGTGTCCACTTTACAGAAGAGACGAAGTATATAAACACTTTTCTTCTTCTGAATACACAAGATTTTCTTCTCTCAGATATTCTGGCTTGAGAAATCAATTTCTTCAAAGTCTGTACTAAAAAAATTGGAATCACATGATATGACAAGGTGTTAAGGGTAGCAACATCTGATTATGTTTCCATAAAACAAACACTTTACAAACTAAAACATGCTATATTCCACAACTGTTGACTGAGAACCTACTATGCACCAAAATTGTGCCA